ATTCAAAATAATTGAAAAACCAATAAACATTGATTTTGAATAGTTCATTATTTTACTGAAATTAGTGGAAACTCTAATTTTGATTATTTCATGTCATTGATATATTCAACTGTAATTTTAAGAAATGGACATTCAAAATAATTGAAAAACCAATAAACATTGATTTTGAATAGTTGATTATTTTTGAGACACTAATCAACTTAATCATAAACTCAGATTACTGAACAGTTTGGACAAACAAAAATAGTAATAATCTGGAACATTACTTGATTTATGTATACATAGTCATTTTCATAGCATTAAGATTACTTTATGTAACACTAATTAAGGACATAACTTTGTCTTTCAAGGAAACATTCAAAAATTAACAAATTCAACTTAATTTTGAAAATTAACCTCAGATATTTTTTTAAATTAGCAACTATAAAAGGGAATTTAAATTTGATTTTCTCATCAGAAACATTACATAAGACACAAGTAGTTTCCAAATGACTGAAGACACAACAATAAATATGAGACACAATACTCTTTGATACCAAATTCAAGTAAAAATTTTAAACCTTATAAACAAAACCTAACTGAAAATGGGAGTCACAGTACTTTTAAATTAATTTAATAACAACAGCTAAAACCATTTCTGCCCAATCGAGAACATATACCTCGAATACCTACACTCGCCTCGATAAGCCTTGCCCAAATATATTATGAAGACTAACAGAAGACATACTCATTACATGAAGGAGTAAATTAATCTATCATGCTTTTTTTTTCATTTTGTTATTAAAATATATAATTTAAACTCCATTGTAAACACGTTTCTTGAGCTTTAAAGTCCATATTTAACTAAGTACAATTTGTTTTAATATCTATTGCTATTTTTTAAGTATGCATTTCACAGAATACAACTTAATTTTTCCCTATTTTCAATTGCTCAAAAGTGATCAAATAATACTTGGTAATTTATTCATAGAGGCTAAAAACTGTAATGAGACATCACAATAGTGTGGCTTATAAATTTCCATAGTTAACTTCACAAATATTATCACTATTCACAGCATTTTAATGAAGACTTAAGTGTAATAACTAAATAAATCATATGACCTTTGAGAAATAAGTGATATTGTATTAATGACATATTATTTCAATTTCTTTCAAGTTGACTTAAATTTATCATGCAAGATTTCAATTTTATTACGTTTATAATTAATAGATTGTACATGAACTTGCACATGCATTAATTGATAAAAATTTATTGCTATTAAGTAGTCAATTCTAGATTGCTTAAAGTTAGCAAGAATAATACCCCTATAAAAAAAAGACAGATAAATGATTATTTACAAGTTAACTGCCAATATCACTGGCCATTTTTCTAAGATATTGGAAAAAAAGTATGTTTGTCCATTTAAATAAACTTAGCTTAAAACACAAGATTCTTAAACCACTACAATTTGAATTATGAAATAATTATTTAATCAAGCTAGCCATTATAAAAACTTATAGGTAAAATAGCAGAGTTTATTGATAACAGTAAAATTACAAATGGTGTTTTTTCTCAATCTCTCAAAAGTGTTCGAGATAATCTTTTGAAAGTTGGTACTGCACTGGCTTAGATCTTATTTGGTAACTGGTACATTTTAAATATAAAATACTAATTCAGATAAATCACAATATGTGGAGAACTACAAGGCTTTGTATTAGGTCTTATCCCAATTACTTTGTATATTAATGACATTTTCAATTGATCTAACGAGTCAAATTTATTATTTGTTGATGGCATAATTTTTTATTTTTTTTGCAGATAAAAATTATTAAATCTGTTGTAAAAGTAAAGAATTAGAAAATGTAGGTGAATAGTTGGGTTTTTACAAACTGTATTTCAAACATTAAATACATTATCATTAGGACATGAGAAAAAGTTAAATAATTAAATATTTGTAAAATTGTATCATAAACCATTGGAATATATTTCTAGGAATTATTTCAAATAAGATGTCATGTACAAATTATTACAGGCCAAGTTACACTAGTAGTTAGAATCATTTAACTATTCACTTTCTGGGAAGTAAAATAACAAATTCACTCTAATCAGTTATTTTTCAGCTAGTGAATTTTATGTTTAACACAAAACTGTCTAATGTTCAGATATTTAAATGTATCATTAACAGTTTATTTTTGTAAGAAATAATAAAATATGTAATTATCTTAAATAGTCAAAAGTTATTTCCTCAGCAATGTTTTGTTACCAAATTATCTTCATAAAACTGTTTGAGGCCTTGCTTTCAAAGAGTAGAACTCCTTACCACTGGACATAATAAATATAACTTCATATTTCCAGCATTTATGACACTTTTAAAAAAAATTTTTTCATCATATTTGATAATTACTTTATGGATCAAAAATGATAAGTTATTTATTGTATTAAGTTATAACTGTAAATTATTCTATTAATAACTGATAATAACTATTTTATAATGGGAATGTTTTAACAGATATAAAAGTTACACACATTTTTGTATTAATGCAACTGCTGGGTGATTAGGAGCTGATGATATATTATATCTACCCCCTATCAGCCTACAACTAAACTAAACTATTAGAGCCTTCTTCTTACAGTAATTACAGTTCAAAATTAAATGCAGAGTGGCTGTAACAGTTCATCACAAGATTTACAGTACTATAGCTTCTGTATTATACACGCAGCTCAAAAATTTGGATGTAATTTTTGCTAATAAAGTAGCTAATTTTACAAACTTTTCTCATGAAAACACACACACAAGTCATTGTCATGATCAGTATTTGTTTTATACTCCAGATGGAATTTTGTTTTTGGTACAAACAGATTCCAACACACAACTGTTTTGTACATATAATGGATGAGTAAAAATAATTTCTTTTAGTAGTATGAACACCTTATTTTATAGAGTTTCAACTATAAGACGATCTTCAGTGCTTTGGTTATTATATCTTTATTTAAAATGTTTTACAATTTATTCTACTTGGATTTTGCAGAACTTGTGGCTACTAGTTTCACCTTTCCAGGCAAATTTCTTGAAATGTCTTGATCTTTCACACTTTTAAGCAAATCTCTATCTCGAGCTGTAATCTTATCTTGAAGGAAACTGTGCAGAGCAGTTTTTGCTGCCTTACCTCTCTTAGCCGTTCCTGGCAAGACCTTAACTTTAAACTTGTAGTTCTGCATGGCTGCATATGGAGCACACACTGGAAGAGCAAACAACAAGGTATCATCAAGAAGAGGAATACCAGTTAGCAAATTAATAAGCTGTGTAATTTCATTGTTTTCGGCCATTTCTTCAGCCCCATCTTCAACCTCCCCATCAACTTGGTGCTCACTATCAGTAATCTGCTGTTTTGGAAGTTCATTTTTTACGTGACTTGGTGTATCCTCTACATCTTCATTGGGCTGGTAAAAATGAACAGCTCCTTTTCCTTGTTTCTTCTGATTGGAAAGTTTTTTTTTCTCTTGTTTTTGTTTTTTCTCTTTTGAACTTTTCCCATTTTTATTACCTTTTTCTTTTCCTCCAGCAGAAGCTAGAATTTCCATTCTTAATTGTCGTTCCTCCTCATCTTGGTCTTTGTACTTGTCTTTGATTCTCTTCATCTTGGCTTTCTGCCCTCTCTTGGGCTGTATGGATGCTTTAATTTGGTCGTTAATGTCTTTGTGTGAGGTATCTTGTTTGATTGGAAGCTTTTGCCTTGACTTTTTAAGGGCAGTGTTTTCTATTTTTGAAGATTTAATTAACACTGGTTGATCATCTCCCAAAAATACAACCTTCTCATCTTCTAGACTCTCAACATTACAGGCTTCACTTTTATACTCATTATAGCTGCCCAGTTTAACTTGAGTGTCAGGAAATTTTAGACTTTCATCATCATCTGAAGTATTTTCATCATCTGTATTACTCTTTTTGACATCATCATTTCTAGCAAAATTTTGTTCACAACCTGTATTGACTGGAACACTTTTAATATTTTCACGTATCTCTCCTTCATGGTTTTCATTCTGATCTTCTTCAAGATCATCTTCCTTAACAGGTAGTTCTTTATCTTCTTCAATATCCAGGCTAGAAATCAGCTCTTCACCCACAGCATCATATCCATCATCCAGCTTTACCTTTCGCTCCTCTTTATGGTTTTCTACGCTATCTTCATCTAATTTAAACAAAAAACCAAACCCCATGATTAAGTGAGAAGGAGGTAAGAAGTTCTTTTTACCACGAATCATGAATGCCCCAGAAGTCAAATATTCCCCTGAAGGGGCTGTCTTAGACACTTGATGATGATAAACCCACCAAGCACTTGTCACAATCTTTGCTTCCCATGCAGCACTGTAACAAACAGCCATAGTTCCTGCTTCATTGAGAGTTTTTGGTGGAACGTCACCACCAGTGGGGTTCTTGATCACGATGCTACTTGCCCCATGAAGGTCAGCATGAACATAGATGTCCCCTTGTTTAAGGTATTTCTTCACAATTAGTTCATTTTGCTGAATATCTCTTCCTCCAATAACCAAATAATTCTCCGAGCTTATAAACCATAAAAATTTTTCAAACCAAAAAGTTTTTCTGGCTTTTGTTATTGTCGTTATAACTGCCACCTCTTTCAAAAGCTGTTTGGTTTTTTTCTCTGCTGATTTGAATGCCTTTTCTGATGACTCAAGTGTTTTTTGAGCTTTCTTTGCTGCATTTCTTTTTTTATCATAGTATTTCCTTGCATTTGAATATGCTGATAAATCAATGTTAATATCTACTAGTACAGAATTTTTGCTCCCAGTCTTTTCATTCTCATTACCTTCACTCTTCTGTGTATTATCATTTTGGACATCAAGTAGCATAGTAAAGTGATTTACTTCTAATTTCAAGGACTTGATTGCTTTAGCTACTGGATCCCCTTGTACTGCAGCTTCTTGAATGATGTTCCAAATTTCAGTCCAACTTATTTGGTTAGCAATTGCACTACGCACAACTAAAAGGGCTTTATCAACAAGAGGAAGATTTATCTCAATTGCCTGTGCTTTAAAAATATCTTCTTCTTGTACCTTTTGTAAAGAACTAACTCTCTGTTCATGGTCTTTTTTAATGTTCTGTAATTTTTTTAGAGCTCCTTTTTCTTGTTGAATAGCTTTTAAATCAATTTTTTGACCTTCTAAACTAGAAAAGAATTGATCAACAGCTTTGTCAAAGGAGCAATTTTCAACATAAGGGTTTTGTTGATGTTGTCGAAACAAGAAAGGGTGAAACTCTACATTTGTTGTAAATTCTTGTTCACCATTTTCAATGTTGAGTTTCTTTTCATTCTTTTGTATAATAAATCCTTTACATTGATTTTTACTTGCCTCATTCAAAATTTTCTCAGCTTCCTGCAAAGCTTCTTTAAGTCTAGACACATCTTTTAATGCATCAAATTCTTTACCTATTTTTGTATTTTGCTGAAAACCATGGCCAAGCAAAACATGCTCTATAACAGCTGGTCCATAAGGCACATGGGGTATAAGTACTTTTTTAAGATTATCTCCAACTCTGGCAGTACTGATGATTTCTGTTAACTTTCCTGTATCTAGTACAGGTTCAGACTGCTGAGCTAAATCTACTGGGTATTTTTCTCGCACAACAAACTTGACATCCTCACTTCCTTTAGCTCTTGGTCTTAATATATTAAGGATGATATATTCAGAATCTGTAAGCACTATATTTCCTCTATCATACAATTCTAATATAACATGGTATGCTGCATCATTAATCCCAAACTGCATATCAACAATTCTATCAACTCCAAGTTGTCTAATCATTTCTAACCGTCTGTTTCTCAAGTGTTTCCTTAGTTTCATAGAAAATCCGGATAGTGCAGGACTTTTGGGCCATTCATAATCTGTCGTGTGCAGTCTGATTCCTGATTCCAATAGCAAAACAGACTTTTTCTCTTCCGTACTAAGCTTTATAAGGTAAGTTTTATGGTCTACGTCATACACTTGTGCAACTCGCATGCCTAAAAGATTTTGTTTTAACTCGGTTATAATTGCAGTTAAATCCACAGTATTAAATCTTGTCTTCATGGTCTTGGCTTCTCTAAGGCTCAATACTTAAAATCCTAAATGTGTTAATAACACAGGTATCAAAATAACGATGAAAAAGTGCAAACAATTCAAAGCCTTACGTTTAAGCCAATTTTACTCTGCGATGAGCCTTATCTAGAGACAGCGTAACCCTAACGTAAATTTTAATTATGAAATTGTTTTAAAAAATTTAACAAACACAGTAACCGCTTTCACTAGATCATAGTAAATGGTAGACTTGGTGCATGTTATTTATACCACACTACATGATAACGTTCAAAATGGAACTGGAAGCAAAAGAGACACAACAACGTAGAAATGTTATTACGTAACACGATGTAATAAATATTAAAATCGCGATAATATAAAAACATCTTCACTTTCAGACTTGCTTCAAATTTCTTCATTAGCTTTAAAACTCAAAAGTTTGTTCACAATATTTTGACAAAAAACAAAATTAGCTATTGATTAATATATTATTTTTATACAATTAAAAGAGTTGAAATAATAGGTTTAATGATAACTAGGAAACGTACAATAAAACATTCAGCCTACGTATGTTTAATAACATTGTTACGTGAAAAATGATAAGAAAGGCTTAAATACTAGCTGTACTTCTGCAAGGTCCCCGAAAGTATTCTGTTTCAAGAGTGAATAAATCCAACATTAAGAGTACCAAATATTTTTATTTCTTGCTTTTGAAGTTCACATGTCATGTTGTGTTGTAGCCGACAAAGCGCATAATTCTTCTCGTGAGTCATTGTATGCGCACGATTGACTGACATACGATAGTACAAATTGCATTATCAAACGTCCTATATGTGACGCCATTTTAGTGTCTAATGATTGACTGATTGATAGACAACATACTATTGTATAGTTGTGTGAGTGGTTAAAACCCACGTACCTCCATTCTATTGTGTACGCGCCATATCATAGGTCAACTTACCATCCACGTACTATTGCATTGCAGCACAATCACACTGGTATCCAGCGAAAAGCAAGAACTATCCCACTCCCTCCCCATAATTTATATGTTGATGATGTTTCCATCTAGATATAGTTCTGGAAAGGGGGAAATAAAGGAATTGTTTTGTGTGAAAAGGTTATCACCTTCAACCATCAGTGCCCCCAGTGACACAGCGGTATGTTTGTGGACTTAAAACGCTAGAAACCGGGTTTCGATACCCGTGGTGGGCAGAGCACAGTCCATTGTGTAGCTATAAACAAACAAACAAATTCAATGATCAAATCAGCAAGTCCAGGAGAATTGACAGCAATTAATACATTCTGCTATTGTAGCTCTAGAAAACTAATGGAGCACAAGTCGGGTCTAATAAGTAACTTGGAAGAGTATGGCAGTCAGCTTGCATTAATTAAAAGGTTCGACGGTCAGCCCGGCTTTCTCAGGGCTGGGTAGAGCTTGATAGGCACCTGGGAATGTACAAAGATGAAAGATCAAGATCCTGATAGACAAAGGAGCAGCCACAGGACTGGTAGGTCTTACATTATATCAAGCTCTCCAAGTAAAACCACCAGTCTAGCCAATGGATACTGACTTCGTTCCAGTTAATGATGATAAACTAAAAGTAAATGGAGAGTTAACTTCCGAATATGTCTAGCTAGCATCACTTGCAGAATGAAAGTAGTTACTGCCGACCACAGTACTGACATGGGCATCCATGGGGTGAACGTACTAAGGAGCAATTCAATCAGTTTTATCTGTGCAACTAGTGAACAATCATTCATGAGAAAGTTATTTAGTGCTGACCAGATTGGGCCCAAAAGCAGTGAACCACATAAGTGTGTATGAGAGAGGAAGTTACAGAACCCACTTGTACTTAATACAATCATCATTATTAACGAATTTTCTGATAATGTGTTGTTTTTATACGTGAAAGATTTTTTTAATCATGAATAAGTATGTTTCTGTGCTTTCATTGTTTTTTATTTTATTTTCTGTAGTTCATTTTGTCAGTTGGTTTAAATTGCTTTTATAAAGTTAATATTTTTCTTGTATGTACATGCATAGCAATGATGTACATAAAGTTATGTATACCTGTGCATATCTATATAAATACAATAGTACTGCCTGTTGTATGCCCAAGTAACTACGCTGCAGTGTATGGATCTTCACCCAAATTTGTGTGGAGATTTATTAGATCCATGCTGGAGTACACACAGATTTTCAGTTTTGCATTTTGCGGTTTTTATAGACGTTTTTGCATGTTTTTTTTTTGTTTGTTTTTTCTTACCATTTCCTTACTTCCTGTAAATGTATCTTCACAAAATTTGGCATGGAGGTTCATTGTATCCAAACTTGCGGTTTCACACTTTGTGTTTTGCAGTTTTTAGTTTGTTTATTAATTAGCGTTTTTTAAAGTGGTATTCGATACTGTATGCAGTAAAATTGAAAAATGTCAAGAAATTTTCATAATTTGGCTCGGGACCTTCTTTTTAAAAGCTGTTTAACCTAGAATTTTGTGGAGAACACAGTGAGATGGTTTAAATCAACGTATTTTTGTCTCAAAAATATCAAATTACTCTATCTATTCAAAATTTTCAACCTAAAAGAAAGATTCCACCTATTTTTTTATAGTTTGTCATCAAATTAACCATTATAGTTCAATAGAACAACTGTATACCCACATCTCCCCAAAAAATACTTCTATTCAGTCGAAATTGACTTCAAAACTTTACTTCCTAAAAATTGTGTTTTAAAATGCCCAAAAAAGAAGAAAGAGGTCTTATTCAGCGCAAAGAAAAAAATCTAAAGAAATAGAGAAAAGAGACAAAATGAGACAGAAGAAGAAGGAGCATCTAGGTTGGAAAATAATAAAGAAAGAAATACTATTCAAAGATCACAAGAAAATGAAGAAGAAAGAGAATAAAGGCTAGAGACATTGAGTAATCAAAGAGCTCAAGAAAATGAACAAGAAAGACATACAAATTTAAGAACAGAAAGACAAATACAGAGAAATTCTAACATTTAGCAGCTTTTCATATGATCCAAATTATGATTATAAAAGTGATCGAGTTTTAGACATTGGAAGAATGACTGAAGTTTGTGCTGAATGTGAAAGTGGAAAAGAGAAACAAACGGAATGTGTTGCTCAGATGGTAAAGTCAAACTTTAATTGTTATGTGCACCACCACAGCTTATAAAAACTTTGTTAGAAGGTAATTATTAGAAAGTACAATAGCTGCTTTCAAATTACGTCATTTGTAGCTGCTAAGTAAATTAGAGAAAAAGGTTACATGACATCATTTAAAATTCAAGGTCAGATTTACTACCAAATTGGTTCATTACGGCCACTACCAAATGGGAATCCAAAATGTTTACAAATTTCCTTCAATGGAGGTAAGGAAGAATAAGCAAGGCACAGAGAAAACAATATATCTAGACTAAACCATGAAATAATTCTTAATCTTCAAGATTTGCTTCATCAATACAACTCTTACATGCAAAATTTCAAATCTGCTATGGAAAAATTAACATTTGAAGAACAAAGAATTGTTATTTATGCTGTTAAAGTGCCCCACAATGAGCATGAAAGAAGATTTAAAGCTCCTGTTGTTGATGAAGTTGTAATTTTGATGATGGAGAAGCTAGAACAAGGGATGTTATACTTGAGCATAGAAGCAATACTTTGCGATATGTTTGCGAGACAAACGGAGCATTTGGTTCGCTTTAATATCCATGTGGACAACTCAATATGAATTCCCCCTGTATAAAGGATAGAAATTACACCAAGAGGTGTCTTAAGGTACTTATAAAAGAAACTCATACCGACATAGATGGGTATCCGCTATACAGAAAGTCTCCTGCTGATGGTGGTCATACTGCCACTATAAAAATATAACTGTAGACAATAGATGGGTTGTTCCTTACGTTCCTCTCCTGTCAAAAATCTTCAACTCTCATATTAATGTTGAAATATGTCGTTCAATAAAAACTATCAAATATGTTTGTAAATGCGTCAACAAAGGTTCAGTGAAGTGGAATGTTATCAAATGGGCAGATATATTAGCTCACAATTCCCCATTCATGTTTGTTTTGCTATGCCTATCAACAAATCACAAGGACAAAGTTCAAAAGTTGCTGGACTATATCTAAAGCAACCCTGTTTTTCTTGTGGATAATTCTATGTGGGATGCTTAAGAGTTGGTTCTCCGAATAATTTATTCATCTTGGCTGAGGGAGGAAAACTACAAGTATTGTTTACACTGAAACACGACAATAGACATTCTCTTAGTAACTGAAGTGCTTGAACCTTGCGTTTCGTTTTCAGTTGAACTGGTATTTTGGTCATTTGTGTTTTCTAATCAAACAGAATTTGTTGAAGTTAAACTGATATTTAGTATTAAAATTGAAGTGCCTAATTCTTGCAATTCATATTTTGGTCATTGTATTTTGTAATAAAAAGAAAAATTAAATACTTTAACACTTAGGTAATCAACCTTTCATAATTTATCAAAAAATGGTGATACAGCAGAAAATGACACATTTTCTACTGTGTTAACATTTGGGAAGAGATACGGAAAACTATTTTAACCAGGACACTTTAAAACAGCTTCAATTGGATTGAAGTTGTTTTAATGACAGTTTTAAGCCTAAGCCTAAGGAGGAGTTTTCTAAATATCTTATATCATGGTAATCATTGATCTGGTTACATATAAGAGAAACAAATTTTCATCTCCTAAGATAACCTTTCATTAATCATGAATTTACGTAATTTCCGTCCATGGAACAGGTACTCTAGCTAGTGT